ATGTGACAACAATATCACAAATTCTCCACAAATGTGGCCTGTATGGGAGGGTTGCAAGAAAAAAACTGAGCTTTGTCAAAACGCACCTTGAAGGCCACATGAGACTAAAATTTAATTATTTGGCCTCCAAAAACCAAACGATATGTCTGGCGGAAATCCAATACAGCTCACCATCCAAATAACAGCATTCCTACAGTAAAGCATGGAGGTGGTAATATCCTGTTATGGGGTGTTTCTCTGCAGCAGAGACTGGAGCACTTGAAAAATGGATGGGGCAAAATACCGTCAAATTCTTGAGTAAAATCTGCTGCCCTCTGCCAGAAAGTTGTCAATGGGAAGAAGGTTTACCTTCCCAACATGACAAAGACCCAAAGCACACAGAAAAACTGAGCACACAGTGGTTGAAGGAGAAAAAGGTGAATGTCCTTGCATGGCCTAGTCAGAGCCCAGACTTAAACCCCATTGAAAATCTGTGGAATGACTTGAAGACTGCAGTCCACAAACGCTCACCATCAAATTGAACTGAACTTTGAGCAGTTCTGCAAAGAAGAATGGGCAAATACTGCAAAGTCTAGATTTGCAAAGTTAGTAGAGACAAATCCCAACAGATCCCTGATGGGATCAACAAAATACTGACACAAGGGGGTGATCCTTTTTCCAACTCAGTGATTCTGTTTTTTTATTTACTTATTTTTGTCTGACATGTTGGTGTTATTTCTTTCACTTGGATGTTATAAGTTACACTGAGTACACTCCGTCTTCATTTCAGGCTGCAAAGCAACCAAATGTGATTATTTTAAAGGGGGGTGACTCTTTTCTATACCCACTGTACAAAACACACAAGGGTCATTCCATGTCAACTTTGGATTTGGAGTCAATTTACAAGGGTGTAAAAATGACTTTAGAAAGATGACAGCATCATTGTTATTTTTACACAGAGATTGGTAGGTAAAATCTGTTGACTTTAGCAATCTTCGTTTAATTATATGCCAACAGTGACAGTTCAAAAATGGAAAAAAACACTTCTTGTGTTTTTTGCCTCAAGTGTGCATGCCTGTAACTCAAGAAGTATTAAAGATATCTTAATCTCCTTTTAGATTCTGGTTCTTAACAAACTTTCCTTTTGGTATCTTCATTTTAGAGGCCTTCAATAATTCAGTCCCAGAGTTTTGAAGATCTTAATGCGGCTCCATGAGTAAACTGGACAATTGTACACATTTTCAGTGGTCAAAAACCAAATGTGGGTCATTTCGCATTCAGCTGATACTTTTTTCTTTTAAAGAGTAATATCTGAAGAACAAATACTGTTGAAACTAGAAATGTATCTTGTGATTTTCTATCAAAACAATTGCATAGAACATACCTGTAGTGCCATAAATTTTCTTTTTCCAAAGTTTGCATGCCTGTAACTTTAACAGCATTCAAGATATTTTAATAGGGCTGGGTAAAAAATAACGATATCTTGATTTTAATCGATTCTCATTTTTACGAAACGATATTGATTCTTAAATCCCAAGAATCGATTAGTCTAGCCTGTTTTCAGTTAATGGATGCAACATTGAAGCACACCTCTCATCCAATAAATCGCAATAAGCATTGTGCGTTGGTACTTGAAACAAAGTCTCAGATTTCAATTTATGGCCATTGTATTGCAGTATTCAAACAATAAATGCCGTTTTGGCGCTGTTTAATGGTGAGTGACAGATCGCTGTAGCACCTCAGTTCAACAGATCTGTAGCGCCTCAGTTCAACAGACGCAGCAGCGCGAGGCGCACGTGAACTGATCATCTCCTCCACATTAATACCAGCTTCAGCACAAAATAAACATGACTAAACATCCGAAGGTAAGTTAAAAGAAAGAGTACAACTTTACAATTCGTATCCTGTCCAATGTAATCGCTCAATCAGTGTTTCAGCCGCGCAAAATACGTCAGTATAACAGCTTGTAAACAAATTCATGTAACTCACATTTACCTCAGAAAGCATATTCGGTGACCATAAACTCGTTAGATCCCTAATCCAAAATAATCGATATTGAATCTAATCAAATCGGTAATCGAATCGAAAGCTTGTGAATGAGAATCGAATCGAATCGTGAAATTTGTGTCAAAAAAACCCAGCCCTATATTTTAATATCCTTCTAGATTTTCATTCTTAATAAACTTTTCTTTTGAAATCTTAATTTTCAAGGCCCCATATAGTTCATTCCCATAGATAGTCGTGGCCTAATGGTTAGAGAGTCGGACTCGTAACCCAAAGGTTGCGGGTTCGAGTCTCGTACCGGCAGGGACTGTAGGTGGGGGGGGTGGGTGTACAGTACAAAGTCCCACCTTCAATACCACGACTG